TTCACTTTCATAACTAAGTTTTCTTAACTGGTTAAGAAAAACCCTTTTTTATTATTGTTTTCACAACTGGTTTTTAAACAAGAATACAAATTCATTCTACACTGACCCGACCGGGGATCGAACTGGGGCCACAGAGATGGCGACACCATGAAAACCACTCGATCACACAGGCCGTTACAACTTGTACTTACTAATAAACATATACATGTTGCAGAGAGTGTTAGAAGATATTTACGCTATCCAGTTTTGAAAATAGGAAGTGACTTAGGATGTCGGATTACAGACAGAAGTTTGTTCCATAATTGTGCAGCCTTTATCGGAAAGGAATCTTTCAAATACTCTTAAACCTTAGTTCGCGGTTGGGATCCTCACAAAGAAAGCAAATTTGATGTCCACTTTACGCAAGTATCTTTAACGCTATAGATGATAATGACGACCAGAACGTTAAAGTCAAAGTCAAATTCAAAGATTATTTATTCCATAGGTAAAATAAATTTACACTTGAAAACGTCACATTTAAGCTACTGCTCGTTCACTACGCTGACCTCCCTGAGAAGAACGAGCAAGAAACTCTAGGGATTGCTCTTTTCAAATAAACTTAAATGCTATGGAATACACTTTGAATCAAATTTGTGTGGATTCTGGAGCCATGTCGTCTTTCCATACATCTTTATCTAACACGTAGTCTTCAATTTTGTAATATGATTTTTCGATCAAAATATTTTTAATGTAGTTTTTAAACTTAGGAAATGATAAACTTAATATATGCTGCGGAATCTTTTTGCAAAAACGTATACAGTTTCCCATAAAAGAGTTGTTTACCTTGGTTAAACGAAATCGTGGTACCATGAGTTTGGACTTAGCTCTAAGGTTAATATTATGGATTTTTTTGGTTTTTGGTTGACGTCAATTCCCAGTAAGACATTTAAGTGTTTCTAAATGAGCAAATCTGAAGCCATGGGAGATACAGTGATATTGTCGGAAGAACCATTTGACCTTTGTGGAAACAATTCTGGCATTATCAATTTTATTCATTTTTATAAACAACGCACTAATAAGCTAGTATATTCCGATACGGAACCTGAACGCAATTACTGTATTTAACAGTAACATATAGTAACATAGTATGTAAGTAACAATAAGTGACAGTGTTGAATTAATCACTTTGGATAAAATATATAGTAAACTTGAGGATGTACTCTAATTACTATACGATGTGAATACACGAACTCTAAAAATTTTCATGATAGAAAAAACTCGCAAACTTACCTCGAGATTTTAGAAGAAAACCGCTGTATTTGGCCAGACCAGTCAGAACATCAATCTGACCAACGGGAAACACTGTGATTTTTTTATATCAACTGAACCAAACAGAAACGTACAGTATACGACATATATTTTTCAAATGACTGTAATTTCGTTAGTAAGAAAATAAATTGTGAAATAAAGCCAGCGTCCGAATTCCGGGCTTTCCGGAATTTGAATTCTAGCAGAGGTAGTATGTTTAAAGCAAGAATGTAAATTCAAAGCAAGAAAGATATTGAAAAGACGTGGGTAGTACAATTGTGTATAGAACACGTAACATTGAAAGTTCTCAAGTAAACATAGTGACCTTCTCTACGTGTTGATTCACATATAAATGATTTCAACTATGACTGTCCTAGTCCACCCACTACATTGCTTATAAGGTGACGCTTCAGACGTATGTGATTCATAAATTTTGAACAAAAAGGTCTCAAAAACAATGCGACTAGCGAGGCGTTCGATTGCTTTACTAATAACCATTCATTGTTATCCCACCTTCTTTCTTATCACGCTCTCTTCTAGTTCCTGGACACTTATTTTTGAAATTTCGAATTTTTGAATGGTTCTTTAATTCCTCTTCTTCATCATTCTTACTTTGTTTCCTTCCGTCTTCACTGCCATCAAAATTCTCGAATAGAAAGGACGTGTGCGTCGTAAGTCATATAAACCTTATGAAACCTTAACTTCTTATAAAGCATCGAATATTTATGCAATTACAGGCCCTTTTGGGGTAAGTTCACTTTATGTTGTATTTCACGTGTAGGAAGACTTTTTATAGTATTGTATTGTATCCATTTTTTGTTCCAGTCTTTCTTTTTGTTCTTTTAGCCTCTTCTTATTGTGGACCTGTGTATCTTTATGTGGACCGAGTCTTCTCATTAATTTCATATAATTATTTAGATTATTTGTAACATAATAACAACTTAGCAGGATTATGTTACTAACATCAAAAACAACAAAATGTAATAAATTCACCAAAAATTTTTTTATGATATCTAGTGACGGGATGAACAAGTCGTGCGCCTGATGGTACGCGACACATGACAGTTGCAGTGCTACTCAGAGCTTTAAATCGCAAAGATCTGAGAGGCACTCCCACTGCACCCTGAGATATAAGTTGACAAATCCTATGTGCCTGTACTTTCACGAGAGACACGACGCTTGCCTGGTGGTTTAGAATGGATGAAGAAGGAGAAGAAATCAGTAATCCTTTGGGGTTTTTAGGAACTTATTTTATGTAGCTATTGACAACATCGAATCACAAAAACATAACGTCAAAAGGAATACAAAATTGAAAGGAATAAAAACCAAACTATATCAACAAGAATATCCCTTACCCTTCCAAATCTAAACGCAGTATAGCAGTAGAGCTCCTTGTGAAAGAGTTCATCCAGGGTAGTACTGCCACGTTACTGTGTTCCGGTTTTGAAGAGTAAGGGTGCTTGTGAAATTACAGGCACATGGGACTTATAAACTTCTCAGGGTGACGGGCGCAGTGGCAGTGCCCCTCGGATCTTTGCAATTTAAAGCTCTGAGTGGCGCTGCAACTGTTATGGATAGGCGTGTAGCTTACCATCAGGCTCACGACTTCTTCTAATAGGAAAGGCGGCAATAATTCCCTGGACGTACTCTTTCACAAGGAGCTCTACTAAAAATCTGTATTTATACGCTAACGCTTTCGTTTGTTATCGCACAAGTTATCACCGATCAGAGTGATGTATTTAAATATATTTACTTTTGTATGAAAGTAAAATTTTATAATAAAGGAACAAAAGTTGTTGTCGACGCTAAAACTTGGTCTTTGATGAATCGTCAGAAGTTCGCACTCGGGATGTGTCAGCGAGGCATGGAGCGTAATGTCTTAATATGGCGATCCAAAACGCAAATCGTTAACGTTAATAAAAAAACCACTAGCCTAAAATGGAACTGGGCAGAACACGTCTACCGCATGTCAGGCGATTTGTGGGAAAAGACCATCACTGCATGGATGGGATCCATGCAGTGATGCAAAACGGAGACGTGGAAGACCCAGAAGGCGATGGGTTACGGGCTACATGCTCATGTGATATCTGACCTGAATAAATTTAACTTTTGCTACAATCTATTTAGTGTAATTTTGGGGGAAATGTCAATGCGCCCGTTACGGTTTAAAATATATGAAAAACTATATGTAATAGGTAATCATCTCAGCAGAGTATTAAAAAAAACTGACCTCAAAAGTTATTCATCACCTAATTCGGCACCCTTAGAGGTGTAATATATTCTTCAAATTTAAATGGAACCACTACCGAGGTATCCTTTTTCCATCAAAAAAAAACCATCAAATAGGTTCACGAATATTTATCGCTTAGCATACATACAAAACAAAAGCATTCGAATTGAGAACCTACTTTTTTGAAATCGGTTAAAAATGTCGCTTACGATAAGTCGGCGGTCATGTCTTAAAACTGAAGGAGACTTGGGCCTGAAGCATGTAATTATATTTACTACAAAAATACATTGGGCGTTTAACGGCTTTCTAATTCCACTTTGCTTGGCCTAAGGGGGATAATGTGTTTTTTAATTAATAACTATAATATATAACACTCAAAAAAATCCTTCGATCTGGCCGGGTTCGAACCGACGTCTTCTAACTTACCGTCACAGACGCTGTACCAACTAAGCCACGGAACGAAACTGGGCCTCACGAATTTTTCTATGTGCTTGCTGTCGTGTCTTTGTATTGGTTTTTCAACGATTTTTAGACGTAGCGCCATCTATGACAAATCTTAAGTATTTCGTCACCCTGTTAGATATCTTTACAGCTACCAGCCCTGGCTAGAGATGTCGCCATTCATTGTATTTAAATTTTTATTGAATCGATATTCTATTATTTTTTATGTGAAATTATTCCACTAGTTTGTTACAATTATTTTGTGTGTTTTTTTCTTAAACAAACCAATGTTCCGGGCACTCCTATAGTCATAGATGACAATCACTTCCAATTCCATATAATATCAGTCGCGAAGAAGAATTAGTTTAGATTTTTATTAAACCGGCCAGGAAAAACATTACGTTTATGTAATAAAAGTAATACGTATTTTTTTTAAATAAACATCATACAATAGCACGTACGATGCTCTGATCCCAAAGTAAGTAGCTAAAGCACTTGTGTTATGGGATAGGAAACAACGAAGGTACCACAAACACCTAGACTCGAGACAATATAGAAAAGTTATTTTTTACACTGACCCTGCCGGGGATCGAACCCGGGACCTCAGAAATGGCGACACCATAAACATCGGTGTGCAAGCCACTCGACCACGGAGGCCGTCGCGTCGAAAAGTAATAACAGTCTTATGAATAATGTACGATACCCATAAGGATATTGTCAAAACAATGTACTAATACGTTACACGACAGGATGTACTTTACCCAAAAATCCCGAAAATAGGTTAAAATTAAAGTTTAAAACGAATTGTTTAAGAATGAATATCTAACTTTTCACATAATTTTTACATGGAGATGTTTCTCTTTAAATACTTCTCGTTAAATATTATCCCAAAATTTGACAATATAGTGGGACGCAAGGGGCAATCCCCCACTTCTTAAAATCTAGACTAGCATCCAAATACCTCGCCTTAATGAGTATGGTGACTCTCACATACCTTAAAACATATTTGATGAAACTGACAATGGAATTATCTTTGTTCCAGAAAAATGAGGCAGTTGCACACCATAGTGGCGTTCTGCCTCATCCTAGCTGCAAGCGCAGTGGAGAACATCGAACCAATAGCAGAATCTGAGGAAAGAGAACCACAGACACGAGCTGAACGATGCACTACATGTGGAACCACAAATTTTAAGTCCCCTAACCAGGTTTTAGCTCATATTCAATCTTTGCCCGGCGCTGAAGTCCATACTCAGCAATCTTTTGAAGAATGTTCTTCCGACAAAGGTTGTGCAGGCATTAAAGTTAAAGATGGTAAAGTCATTGAGAGATTCGGGAATGCAGATGCCTTTAAAGCCGCAGCAGCTGCTGACTTGGCTAATGAATTTCAGTTTCATGTAGCTGGAAGTAATGTCTTTGATGGTGGGATCCCCAATGCAGGTCCTTATTGGTGGATGAGTCAGAATTCTCCCTTCAAAGCTGGTGCATCTGCAGGTGGTGGAAATTTTGAAAAGTTCAGCCAGAGTTCCTCAAGCTTCTCTAGTTCAGGAAATACTGCTGGAGGCGGTGCTCAGTTTGGTGGTGCCGGTGGTCAGTTTGGTGGATCTGGTGGTCAGATTGGTGGATCCATAGATTTGTCAGCAAATCCTTTCCTTAATGGAGAGTTTTCGAAAATTGCTGGCAGTTTCGGTGGTGGCCAAGAGGTCAAGCCTTCTACCTTCCAATCTTCATCATTCGAGTCTTCCTCCTTCAGTACCTCAAATAAAGGAGGTATTGACTTGTCTAAAAACCCTTACCTTAACGCTGGAGCAAATAAATTCCAAGGAGCTGGCTTCCAAGCTTCAGGAGCCGGTTTCGCTTCTGGAAACCAAAACCAGAATTTCGGTCAAGGATTTTCTGGACAAGGCTCATCTGGATCAAAATTCGCGTCTTCCTCTGGATACGTGGGGTCTTCTCCATCACCGTTCACAGCATCTACATCTGGAAATAATTTGAATCTAATTCAGAATACGCAGAAGACCAGTGAATTTGATTTCGAACAGCAAAATCAGCAGAATATCGATGAGGTTTTCCAAGGAACAGGCAATGTGCATGCGCATGAGCATTCTGGTGGGGACCTTCAACAGACATGTGCAGGACAAGGATATGTGTGTGTCCACAAGGCCCAATGCAATAATGGCGTCGTCAACACTAACGGAGCCGCTGTCCTTCAAGCTAAAACTAAGGTAAGTTTATTATATCTTGAATGTTTTTATTTTCATACTCCTCCAAGTTAATTGTCGTATACGCTTCGCGCAAGAGAACTGGATCTAACGGAAAACTGTACGAATGGAAATACTCGTCTGTTTCTTGAAATTTGAAATCACATATTGAATTTCGGTTTCAGATTCGAGATAATTAGGACTTCTCATATTATTAAATAATCGACATTTTCTATTCAAAGATGGCTGACCTTTCAGTCAGCTGATAATGACATTTATCGACTTTGAATTATTTATTTCTTGATAAAGAATTGAAGGTTAGAATGTGTATACATAGTTTAAATATTTATAATATCATTTTTAGAGGTCGTTTCCTACATATTTCTTTTATTAATACGTAATCACATTAGCGTGGGCAAGAACCACGAGCGAACGAGTCAAATAGGAGCTGTAGAACTTCTTGTGAAAGAGTTTCTTCAGGGATGTTGTCTCCATACATATTTCTGTCGCCAAGCAGTAATGAGAGCATGTCTCAGGGTGACGGTGGCATTGACCCTGAGATTTTTCATCACTTCGGACGTCGCTTGTCCACTAAGTCCGTTTTGAATGCGACAAAATGCGAATATAGCTTGTACCCCAAGAGATAAAATGATCCCTGTGAGATTATCGGATCATAATTTTTCAGATTCGGACTTGATACGAATAGTTCTAATGCAATGCCTTTGATTTTCGGCTATGTCGCCGTCCAAGTAGGTTTCATACGTACAACATAAGGTCACGCCCTAGTCCCAGAGGAGGGGTAGGCAGCAGAGACCACGGAACGCCACTTTATTCTCAACATCAACTACCTCTTTTCATACAACTTCGTTGGGAATCGAAGTGACAAGAATAATCTTGTCTTCTAGGACGTCTTCTTAAAACCCTTCCTTTGCATCATAAATCTGTTTGGTATTTCTTCTTACATCCATCCGCTCTACATGCCCAAACCACCTCAACAATCCTTTCTCTATTCTAGTCACTACAGCCTCCTTCAAGCCATTACTTCACGTATTAGAGTAAGTTTCAAAAAACAAAAATATGGATTACGAATTGTGGTATAAACAAGAAGACAGTAAGGACTGTTGACTAGAGGACTGAAGACTTGCATTCTCCTTATAGAACGTGAACGTGTCCAAATAGGCAAGAAAGAGCAAGGATGTAACCAGTCTTGTTCGATTTTGTAAAATCGCTTAAACAAGCAAATCGTATATCGCGTAGCCTAAATTTTATTCGATTCTTACATAGGTTAGTGTGTAAGGATTCAAGTTTTTCCCGCATTGAATCAGTTCTATTGCACGGATTGAGCATCAGGGACATTGGTTTTATTTCAGAATGTGTTTATTTACAAACGAAATTAAGTCCAAAAATGTATATCGCTTTCTAATTAGTTCAGTTGATATAAAAAAAAAATCATTGGTATATATAAAGCACCTATTGAATGCAGCGGTTTTCTTGTAAAATTTCGAGGTAAATTTGTGTTTTTTTTTCTATGGTTTTTTTTAAACCATTTTTTTTTCCAAATTGATTCATTCAATGCTTTCAATTATGTTAACACTAGGCGTAAGACTTGTTCGTCCTGATAATGATACTTGATACTTACACTTGATAATATAAAACAAAATGTGCGTGAACAATTTGTTGTCAATTGGCAGGTAGACAGTTCGAGTCCGTCTGGTGCCATGTACCTATGTACTTTTAATAATTTTTACGTACATTTGTGAATGTTTGGCAGGCAATACCTCTCGCTAATTCTAAAGGAAAACGATGAAACGTGTGTACATGTTTTTTGTGCTCGCTGTATAAAAGGCTCTTTGAAGTATTGACTACGCTTTACACAAGAGAGAATGAATTTTTGTAATGAAAGTATTGTTTTAGTCTATTGCCTCGCGACGCACTTTCTTTAACCGATTTGAAAAAAAAGGAGGAAGTTCTCATTTCGATTCTCATCACGAATATTTGTATGTTTATTACGCGATAACTCTGGCATTTGTGCACCGATTTTGATGATTCTTTTTTTGTTGGAAAGACGGTAACTTTGTTGGTCTCATTTAAATTTGAAGAAGATATTCTACCTTTAAGGTGGCAAACGAGGATATGAATAAGGTTTCGCGCACTGTCTGGTAACCAATTAACCAATTTCAATATTATTATACAGTCATATTTGATATCTTGTATTGTTTTTGAATAGTTCTTTTTTGCCAAAATGGTTTATGCGTTTACACCGGTTATGCAACATTTTGAGACATTGTTTAATGAAATAATTTGAATTTCATAAATATAATGACGTTATTATTTGTTCCCGTTTAAGCGTCTCCTATTATTTTTTTAAAAGACTTTTTGTATTTAGCAAATTTACAACGTTATTTTTTTTTGAAACTTATTAAAATTCTGTGTCTGATCAGTAGCGAGTACAATAGACAATAGAATTTTGGTTCAGAAACTTCATCTCGACTGATATTGGAATTGAGGTCCAATCATTGATTTACAAATAAATGGACGACGGGTCTAATACAAAAACCACGAAAAAAATGTCCGAAGTCAACCTATTTAAACGTAGTGACATGTCAAGGAATATGAAAAAGCTAAAACGTTGAATTTAAATTGTAATGTCATCGCAGTACTGTCTAATTTTGCTTGCTTCGCTGTCAGTCGAACAAACGAAGACTAAAGCGTGAATGACGCTCTGTATACGATTTTAACGCCCTATAAGTTCGGACACTTTTTAGCGCGGACCCGACGTCCATATAATTGTAAGTCAATGGGTCCAATCAAATTGTTTTGTTTTTCAGAGATATTCGAAATTTTAATGTAATAATAACATCGAATTCGATGATAACATTTTCACAGTAAAAAATTTGTTCTAACAAAACAGTTTATCTTTATGCTGGTCGTAATTTGCGGTTTTTGAACACATTATAGAGAGTTTATGATATGTGCGAAGATAAATGTTATTATATAATAGTTGTACTTTCAATGTGTAGCAATTGCAAAAACTTCAAGAACTCGACACCGAATTTTTGACAAAAAAAATATTCGCAACCGTTAAAAGTTCAAATCATATGGCATATTGCAAAATCTTTTATTATCTTTTAAAGAAAAGACGTCAAAGATAAACATCTTTGGTTATATCAGATTCGATATCAACAATGGTGTTTTGCAACTGTTACTTGCAATACATTTATTATTTGCAAACCGAGATGGATAAGCGCCCAGCGCTTTGTTAAAGCCTAGTTTAAATCGGGTTAAAATCCATTAACGCCCGAAATCGAGGGCAAAGTCTATTTGCAACTAATAGGAAACGAAACTATTTTTCTTGATTCAAATCGAGTATACTTGTTTTTTCAAACTAACCAAGTATTTCCTCTGATGAAAAATCCTAAACAGACCTAAGACTGTAGTACTAATTATATTAAATAAAAATTCATTCGATAAAATAATTTGTAAAACGTAATGTAGAGTAAATTGGAATGTCTCTTTGTAAAATTAACAATAAGGTATTTAATTAATAAGTTTTGTAACTATAGTGAACTGGTTGATGGGTGTACCACCTCGGTCAACCGTGATCGTGACCAGTAAAGGGCCCGAAGCGTTGGTTTGTTTGGAAAAACAAATGTACGCGATACAAATTGAGTAAAATAGTTTAATTTCCCATGTGTAACAATCGCGAAAACTTAAAAACTCTAAATTTACAACAATTTTCTTTTTGATACCCAGTGATGGCACGAACTTGGCCTGGTGGAAAGTGACACGCCTGTCCATAACAGTTGCAGTGACAATCAGTTAAATTGCAAAAATCCGACACATAAGTTGATAAGTCCCATGTGCCCGTAATTTCACCAACACCCTTACCTTATAGTAAATATGTTTCTATCCACATCCTCTCCAATTCATGTAACTCTTTCGACTAATATTATATTCTTCTGTATTTAATGGAGCAATAAACATTTTTGACGTGACGCCACTTCTGCCATTCTTATATGAGCGATGCGAATTGGAGATCAGGTCATTCTTGGTCATTAACAAGCATACCTTTTTCATTCCATTTACCCCTTCCGATAGCTGTTACTGGCGTAATAATTTAACTTCAATAGCATTGCCAATTTCAATTTTGTAAAACCTATAACTTGGGTAATAAAAATGCTTTAAACGAGAAAAAAATATCTATAAATTCTTAACATTGTCGCATTATTGTTATTGAGGAAAAAACACAATAATGAGCCGTTATTGTATTTCCGACGACACATTTAAATATTAATTGCCTGTAGTAATGGGTATTTAAAATGTTTATAAATAGACTTTATAAAGGATATAACAAAAATGATCGACTATGAAAAAATTATAGTAATGACAGATACTTAGGCATGACAGATACGAGCTTCTGCAACTGATAATGATGGAAAAAATCGTGGCTGCGGAACTTACGAGAGTGGGATAGCGGGTGTCGCCCAAGTGTTCAGCCTCGCCAGAAATAAAGATAAATATGCTGACCTTCACTAGTTGGAGAGGCGCCTTAAGAAAAAGAAGGATGAAAAAATGTTGACTTTATACTATAATACATTTGTACAATTGACAATCTGTTCTTGTTTAAGCTTGCTATTGGTATACTAGACACGCTTGAATTGCTGAACGAACTAGGCTTTAACGTTCCGCCAACATTATTATTTAACATTCTAACTTATTTCGTACTCCGCGCTCCCACTCCAATTTGGTCCACTTTGCACCTCTAGCCCGACTGGCACACCAGCATAACAATAAGTGTATCAACACTGTTGACATCGTTGCCGATGGTTTGCCTAAGTATAAACATTCTGTCAAGTCACTGACATATTAGAACATCTTAAAATTATATATTCTTATTATCAAATCACCGCCTTACGTGGGATCCCCAAGTGTCTGATGTTTGTTGTAGGGCTACAGACATACTAAGAGCTCTATGCAGGTTTAACAACATTCTTCCCATTAAAACTAAAACTCTCCTTGTTCAA